CCTGTCTTTTCCTGTGTACTCTGTGTGTATTCATGGAAAAGTGCAGTAGTGGTGGTGGTGGTGGTGGTCATCTTCATCATCATCTCCTCCTCCTCCTTCTTCCATGCTTTGTAACTGTTGTACTTGATACCAGTGTCACTGCAAACTTGAGGAGTGAGCCCAGAGGTGGTGCTATAAATATTTTGTACTTACTCATTTCTTTATATGTTGTTCCCCTTCCACCCCCAGTGGAATATATATTCATTGAAGGTGGAGACTTCCATTTTTGGCTTTATTTTCACAAGTCATATAGTGCCTGACAAATAGTATGCATTTAATAAATTGAATTGAATTCAACTGCATGTGAACTGAGTAATTATAGCCCTAGAGAGCATTGAGTGTTGGGTGAGGTTTACTTCTGGTGCTTCTTCATCCCATTTTGTATGCTCCATCCCTCTTTCCCCACTAGTTAATACCTTTCAATCTAATCCAACCCTCCTAGAATTTATTTTATCCTCCACCCTTCCCAGATTCCATGGCCCCATGTTGTCTGGTCCCTGACATCCAAACACTGAGGCACCTCCACGTGGAGCACAGATTGCTTTCTTGGTCCTCTTTCTACTTTTCCACATCAAAATTTACTTGTGGGAGGCAACATTGCTTAGTGGAAATAACAATGGATGTAGCATCAGAAGAATCAGATTTGCCTCAGCTTTGTCATCTCATAGCTACATGACTTTTTAAAACTGTGGCACCCAGAACTGAACACCACGCTCCAGGTACAAACCAACCAGGGCAGAAAACAGTGGGATGATCATCTCCCTTTTTTTGGAAGCTGTGTCTCTCTTAGTGCAACCCAAGCTCATGATAGCTTCTTTGTCTGTCACATCACACTCCTATCCATTTATATCAAGCTTGTGGCCCCCAAAAACACCCAGATCTTTTTCGGGATAACCACTTTCTATCCAGTCCTGTTCATCTTACACTTGTGAAGTTTGTTTTTTTTTTCTTATTCCCAAGTACAAGACTCCACATTAATGTCTATTGCTTTTCAATTTATTAGATTTAGCCCAATTTTCTAGCCTATAAAGATTATTTTGGATCCTGATTTTGTCATCCAGTGTGTCAACTATCCCTCTGAGCTGTAAGCTCCTTGAGAGCAGGGACTGTCTTTTACTTTTCTTTGTATCCCCAGTGCTTAACACAGTGCCTAGCATATAGTAGGTGCTAAATAAATTTTTATTTACTGACTGACTGATAGGGATAGGGGTTAGACTTGTGATTTCTTTGATCCAGGGAACTGCCAGATGAGGAAATCCTATCTACCAATGGAGATCATCACTTCTGCAGTTTATGGAAATTTGCCTATAGCACTGAGAGGTTAGGTGATTTACTCTGGAAAACATAGCCAAGATGTGTCAGAGATAGAACTTAAATCCTGGTCTTCCTGGATTTGATATCGTGTCTCTATCCACTCCAGCACAGCCTCTCAAGTCATTTACAAAAATGGTGACAGTACAAGGCCAAGCATAGATCCCTTGGGTCCTTCACTGGAAACGTTCTACTACATAGGCACCAAACCATTAACAGCCATCTCAGCATATGGAACAACTCATCCATCTTTGAGTTTAGCTCTCCAACTATTCTGAATCTATTTAAATGTACTATCATCTAATCCATCTCTATCCATCTTCTCTAGAAGAATGTTATGAAAAACCTTTTATGAAAAGCATTGCCAAAAAACCAGGTAAATTATATCCTATTCTACCAGTTTAGCAACCCTGTACAAAAAAGAAAGAAAGAAAATGAGATTAATCTGGAATGAACTGTTCTGGTAAAACCACACTGGCTCTTTATACTCACCTTTTTTTTTTTGGCACTTTTTAAACATTTTACACTGTAACACCAAAACTCAAATGCATAATAGAGAAAAGAAAAAGAAACTTATCATAAACTTAAATACTGAAACTTAAATACAAAGTAAGAAAAGAAAAACATGTCTTGTGCACAGCAGAACGTAAGAGAGGATTCAAAATATATAGCAATAAATTTCCATTTCAAGAAAGCCTGTGTAATAAATACTACACATTGTGTTGAGAGCTGTCCGTCTTTTCTTTGCTTCCTGCTAAGTTTTTTTTTGTTCTCTGTTGTGTGCTTTTTACTTTGTTCTTTTCCCCCCTTCCTCTGCCCCCCTCCCCCAGAAGGCTACAATTAAGATAAATTTAGATGTAGATATATACATACACATACATACATACATACGTATATAGTCATTTACTTTCTCTAACAAATCCTACTCCTGTTCTTTGTTTTTATCTTTGTGCATGTTTCTTATTTCCTATCCCTCCTGACTCCTCTGCTTTACTTCGTCTACCTGCTACCTGGCCCTCCAATTACTTAACCTACCCCCACTGGAAGGATACCTTCCTTATCCTCCCATTCCCATTGATCTAAATACCCTTCTAAACACCCCTTTAACCTATTCCCTCCTCCCTTATCCTCTCCACCCTCCCTATCCCCTTAATGTTTCATTTCTTTCTTAATTTTAGAAGACTTTCATACTCTTCTAGATATATATGTATATGTATATATGTATATATAATATGTATATGTATATATGTATATATAATATGTA